GAGGGAGGGAGGGAGGGGGAGGGAGGGCACCGGGGCACCTCGGCGGCCTTGGAATCAAGACCGGAGGTCGGCTCATCCAGCACCTGGCGGGAGTCTGCATCCAAGCTTTCTCCACACCCCTTGTGACAGGACGTGGTGAGCACATCAGTTCCCGGAATGCTGATGGATTCCCAATTTGGAAACCACCTTTAGAGCCTTGAAGGAAGGATTTGAAACTTTTCGGCTCTGCCGTCAGCTGTGGTTCGGTGCTCCAGTGATTGCATACTTGTTGCGGTTGGGATTGCGGACGCCCTCCCCTTTAGGACAGGTCCTCTTTGCTCTTCTAAGACGAGTTCAAGTGATCCAGGATTTAGCTTGCTTGGGCTGCGTGGTTGCGCTTAACAACATGTAAGGATCTGGCCAGGACTGAGGGCCTCTTCAGGAGCTCGACTGCCTCAGCCAGATCTCAGAGCTCATGCAGTGGATCCTTTTAGTGCTGCGCTCGTGTTCTGCACGGCATCCACAATCAGGATACGGCTAAGCTGACTCGCCGTCGTTGCCCTCCGGACCTTTGCCAGCACTTGTAAAACAGGCTGTTAAACCAAAAGCAAAGGCGGGCTCTCGGATGCAAGCACACCACGGATGACGATGCCATCTCCGACCTGGAGAGTGCTGCAATTCGCTTGGCGTGAGGATATGTGCAACTGCTGACATTGGCGGAAAGCTTGGCTTAACCTCAGACCTCCACCCTGGATGCAAACTCAGCAGAGGACCTTCACCTGTTGACAGGCATCCAAACCACACTCCTCCAGGAGTTGCTGTACCTGGACTAGAGCCCGAAGCACGATTAGCTTTCTGGTCAAACCAAAACTACAACTCTTCGCGTCATTCGACAGTTGCACTCTTGTCGCCACATCACAGCCACAGCTTCGTTTGGGGAACTAGTATCGAATGGAAATCACTCGACGATCCAGCTGACTCCGAGTTTGACAAAGAAGCTTGCAAGGGCGTTAAACAAGTGACAGATTGCAAAGGCATAGTCGAATCACTGCAAGGTTGGGTTCATCAGCTTGGGTGTGGCGGCGCTGGAACTCGAAGCTTTGACGCTTTCAGGGGTACACATGCTGCTACTGCTGTTCTGGTGCGAGAAATTGGGATGCCGGACAGCTAGATCGCCCTCTTCTCCCTCACCCCGAAAACCGCAAGGCCTCCAAGGCGGCGGCAGCAGTGCGACGCGAGGACGGCATAACAAGGACTATCGCGACACAGAGAGAGAGAGAGAGAGAGACAGACATTGAGAGACAGAGAGAGAGGGAGACAGACGAGAGAGCGAGAGATGTAGAGGAAAGAACGACAGCAACAGCGACAACAGCATCAACATCTGGTCATCTTCATCATCACCTTCTAGAAGAAGAATCGATCTGAGCCCCGGACCCTCTTTGCCCGGTCGGCACGTGATGCACGACCTCTCGCATGAATTGAAGCATCCAAACCCCAAAAACTTCCAGCCCAAGCCCGAGCCTTTAACCAGAAAGAGTGACAGTTGAATCTTTTGGTCAACACGGAAGTGAAGAAAACGTTGATAGCACCACGGGTGAGGCCAAGAAAAAGACAACTAACACAAAACTCCCACAGCCGAAAATCCTTGCAAGAGTGCTGGCAAATCCAGGGTGAAGTGGAAAAGGGAGCTCGAAAAGCAAAGGCTTAACGTTTAAGCCACGCAACGGACAAACCCTGAACCCGAATATCATGTGCAAAGAACCAGCTGGGCTCCTCAAGGAGCTCGATCCTAGGTCCCGACACGTGTGAGTTGGCCGACCCCAAGTGCGCGTGTGAACGGAGACAAAGACTGGCCCAAAACCCTGAAGCCTGTCGGCACCTCGCAAAATACTGGAATGAATCTTGAATGATCGAATAGTCTGCAGGCACGAAACTGGGGGCAAAGCGGACCGAATGGCATACTGGAAAGACTGGGCTGGCACATCGGGGAAGGGATTTGCATACTGCAGGTTTCGCTTGCGCACTGGAAAACGCAGTGCGGATTTATTTCCCCCCGATTCGAGTTCTGAGTGGAGCATTCGCGCACCGGAACCTCACACACTGAAACCAGGAATTCACGCGAGCGACCATGCGGAATTCGAGCGGTCGGGATTCGCCGGATTCGCGCAGCGAATTCGAGCAGGGCTATACCTGTCCGGCGCCCGCCCCATTCCCCATATCCCCACAACGGCCATTCCACCAAGCCAAGGGCTTAGCAGGAAGTGTCGAAAGTCTAGATCCTAAATCATCACCCGCCCAGGACGATATTTTCAGCCAAGCTAGGTTTAGTTCGGGAGTGGGAACTCCGACCTTGCAAAGGAGCGACTGAGTGACTACTGAGTGACTCTTCACAAAGCTCAGAACACTGACCGGCGTAAGCAAAATCCTGCATCCTAAGTAACGTTGGTGCTTGACTCTGGCCGTCCTGACTCGGCCCTCTCTGTTTCCCTTCTTTCTGTCACGGCGCCCCGGCTTCAGCAGCATTCTTTGACGATTGAAGTTTTGAACTGGCCAATGTGCTACTGTAAGCGCGCATTGGCGCCGACTTGCGGTTCAGATTGCCAACATCCAGGTAACCTTAAACCCGCTTTGGCATCTGGTCGCAACTCAACCAGTCCTCGTTGAGCCGCTGCAGACCAGACGCCACCCTGAACCCTAAAACCCGAAGCGGTAAACCCATGTACGCAACCCAAACCCCAGGCCCCAAAGTCCCGTAATCCCAAAATCCCAGAAGCGCAGGGCCCAAACCCTGAACTGCAACCCTCAAAATTAAAGCTAAAGCGTGATTAAAACGCTTGTGCTTCATTTGGAGTAAGTGCTTAACTTGCACTGTTACGAATGTGTTGCAAGGGGTTGGCACTTCGAAAGGAGTGAGAGGGACGGCAGGTTCTTAGAATGGCTGCTGCGGTGTTACGGCATCTGTCAACAACTGCAACAGCCCCATCAACAGGGCCTTGCCAGTCAGATCAGCATCGGCTCGGACATGCAGATGCTTACGTAATGTCAGCCTACGGCCAACGTCCCAGGCCTTGATAAAGGCTGGCAGCAAATTGGAGGGTTTCTTTGACCTGTCCAGGGAGGTGCGGGTGGTTGTGAGACTCGCGGCACAGGCCCTGACTCTGACGAGTCTCCCTCGAACTCGAACCCCCCACAGGCCGTCAACGAGGGAGCGCAGGCGTCGCTTTGTGCCACATACGCACAGCTGGCACGGAAGAGCGAGGCATCCTAGGCCCAGGCACGGGCGCAGCTGAAGCGTTAGACTAATGTTAGACTCTAGACCCTAGATCTGTTCAGACTGTTTGGTGTGGTACCTCTGGGATTTTCGTGGGCCTAAGGCTCTTCGGTGTGCGATTGCTCGAACTTGCAGAGAACAGTTTCACAGGTATTTTATGACGGGCACTACACTCCCGAACGCCAACCCAAACACAATGCCTATCCCGGAGCACCACGCTCCCATTACTATGAATTCGACAATTCGGACCAAAACCCAGGACCCCATGGGCTCTACAAACTGCGCTACAACTTGTGTCCCAAAGCCCACGAGCAAGACCGCGACCGGTACACCTCCAAGCAGAATATCCCGAATACTTACAGTAGCATAGACTCAACCCTGCAAAACTCCAGCGGCTAGAGCCCAAACTCCTGAAGGGATGTGCGAGTTAAGCGCTCGGGTGTTGACTGCTCTTGTGTTGCAGAATGTTGCAGACCCAACAAGCCAAGAACAGTGTTTGCCTCAAACTTGCCGGGGCAGAAGAAACAAAACCCTGTATCGAGACAGCCAACCGCTTTCAAACGATTCTGGAGGATGCAGGGTGATGCACGGAGCATCTACTCGCAAGGGTTTGCGCCTAGGATAAACTGCACGGAGAACCGCATCGGTCAGTTGTCTCTTGCTGAACGATGACGCTAACTCTGCCCCTGCATGGCAAATGTCATGGCTCGGGCCTGCCCGAAATCTGCAACATCTTTGAGGCGCTGGCCAGCTCCTGTCCGTTGAGCAGCACCTCTGATTTGGCAAGGGTGCCCAGTTGCTCCAGGGCTTGAAGTTCAGGACTTGCATTGTTGGCGACAGCTAGGCCAGGCATAGCGCATCATAGTACCATACTTCTGCCCAACACCGTTGCACCCCGGTTTTGATACGAGGTCATGTGGGGTGTTGAAGGTTTGGGGATCAGAGCGCGGTGGGGCTCGTGCAAAACGCGGCAGGCACCAAGCCCAAAAAGCCTTCTCCTCCACGCCTTGACATTGCGAGTGATGCCCGCTCTTGGGGCAGCAAGAGTCGGAGAACATGGAACGAACGAGCTCTCAACAGCTGATCTTTGCGGGGCAGAAGCTCATGTGCCAGCTATCTCCAAGCACCAGATCTCCAATGTTCTGGTGGGAGCCAGACTTAGTAACTTAGACCTACCGAGCCCTCGAAGCATAAACTGATCCGAAAGCAGCAAAGCCCCTGTGATGCCAATGTGCAGGAATGACCTCTGGAGCAATCCTCCCGAAAGGAACTGCAGCCAGAATGGAAGCCAAAGAGTCCCAAACTGCGCGATCGTCGAGGTTCCCCGAACAGGTGGGCAAAACCCCCACACCCACAGAACCGACCTGAAGCTGCCTACTGGGCCGCCAACTATTTCAAGTCGGCACCCTGCCACAATGTCCCAACTCTGAAGCCTAGCAAATCCCGAATCCTGAACCCAAAAGTTCGCCCAATGCCTGGCCGGCTCGTCTCCCTGGTCTGGGCTCTAGAGCTACCTGGCTGGAAGCTTTGGACCCCGTGCTTGCTTGCCCCATTTCCACGGCGACCGAGCAGAAATCGCACAAGAACCCTTTGAAATGGCCACATTTGCGTTGACATGGGCAGCTCGGGAACCCTGCTAATCCGCCTCATGTTCCGAGATGCTTGTAAAGGCTCTTGAATGAGGGTTGTGTCAGAATTTGAGGATTAGGCATGACCCCGGTCCAAACTGTCCTGCTCCATCTCCTCTCAAGGTCTCCTCACTGCCTGAGCCCCCTTTCCTGTGGACCGCTTGACCTGCCCAAGGCTGCGAGACTTCCTTTCCGCCACTGCATCTGAACTCAAATCCAAGAGTAGCTCTCGGCCAGCCTCGAAAGCTGGGGAGGATCAGGTTTTGAAGGTTTTGCGAAGCTGCTATACAGCAAAAGTCTGCTTCTTCGAACTTTTGCCACGCAACCCAAAAAAAAGGCAAAACTACCAACCAAGCCTTACGAGTAGCTGTAGCCCTCCAAACTACACGCTGTTCAATAAAACTGTATATTGAAGCCTTTGGGAACTTGAAAAGTCTCGTCAAGCTTTCGCCCACCCCCGGCCTGCCTGCCGAAACCTCTTGCTCCGCCAGCGTCCCTTCCCCGCACCCTTCCCCTTGTTGTCTGCCGTCCTGCTTCCTCCTTCAGTTTGCGCCCCAGCGGCCGTGCTTCACCCACGGCCGTATTGGATTGATCGACTGCATGCAATAGGTCCATACCCATGAGAAACTGCCCAAACTGGGCGCACGGCGCTGTCCAGAAGGGTCGTTTTCCCGGCACCAGAACCGCCGATGATGGCCAACACCTGTAGCGAAGTGCGAAGTTTGACGTGCAGAGCCGTGGCTTCACATTTGCCCGAAGCCTGACAAGACCTTCAGGCCGTGTTTGCTGGAAAGCATTGATTGCCACAAAAAACTTCTGGCGGGTAGTTCGACACACTGATACGTCGAGACTGTTCGAAAAAGAGCGGGAACAACAGCCTCCCCGCTGCGCACGTGGGCTGTGACATTCATCAGAAGGTCCTGCTCTGGGCTTCCCGAGAACTTGAATGTGCAAATGCCGGAAATCTCCAAGAAGGCTGGAAGACGTGAACGTTTTTATTCTTACATCGGATGCGCAAGTCTTTACTTCATTGCATGAGGCTAGTACGCGTCTATGCAAGCCCGTTACTTCCTTGGGATACATTGGCCCTCCGTACTGGCCCCTGCCTCGAACAATCCGAACTCCAGATCCTCAAGTCTTCCCATGAACGACCATGTGTGCCGGGCTCCTTCCGAATGCCCCTGCAGGCAAGGGACAAAGAATGCAGTCGCGACCGCCTAATCTGGGTTGATTGTACAAAGCCCAAGCCTTGCCTCTGACATACACCAGCATACACCTCCTCAAAGCTACGCCTCGTTGTCAAAATTTTTGCCTAGCCGGCAGAAAGAATGTCTTCACCCCGAACTCGCACGCTAATCAATCCGTCCCGGACCGAACTGCCCCATGAAACAGGCCTGCTTTCCACAAAGAAATCTAGATTGCCTGGGCTTGGCGGGGCACAGCGTGCGACAGTTGTAGGAAAACATCTTCACCAAACAACTGTAAACCCAACAACAGCATAACACAACTAACCATCGCAAGCACGAGTTACATTCGAAACCTATTAAATAACATCTTGCAATACATCGGTCTGCACACGCGCATAGAGTATTGTAGTCTGCACCTTGGTGCACATCACACGGATAGCCCATGTTGCCAGCAAAGTTGCGGATTCGCAGTTCAGCATCCTGGCCGAAGAACCCCAGAAACAATGCCACATTCTGCATGTCATGGGTGGCAAACACCACCCTTACCTCCATACCCATATTTTGCCCGCCACCTTACCGTGTGCGTCCTCGGCAATGTAACTTGATGAACTGGTGCTGCGCCTCGGTGCATGGCATGACTGCTACCGCAGTAAAACCTGTGGATATGTCTTCCTGCATACCGAAATGACAATGCAGGCCGCAGCGGAATGAACAGGCATCCTACAACACTACCACTTGTAGCGGACGCTGCGACAGCGGGAGCATTGCACCACTAGCTGTAAACAATTTACTGCATTTTGTGGGCACCCAGCTTTGCGTTGTTGCTTGCATCGACCTGCCACACACACGGCTCAAAATCAGGAAACTATGTGTTCCGAAAATATTGCACACAAATGAATTCTACCTGTAATTAGCATGAAATTCGACGCTGGTCGAAGTCACCGATGCTGTGCGAAAGGGCAAGCTGGAATCGCTCACGGCAGCAATGGGCAAGCATGGGCATGAAACCTTCGAATTTGATCCGTTGAGCTTTTTCGTATTTTCACGAATGGGGGGAAGCAGGAGTCATTCATTTTACGTTTCCTGCGCATGCCGGAAAGTGTCCAACCCAAAAGAACCTAAGCTCTCCTAACAGGGACGTGCTCAATCCCGCAGCCTCTTCCAGGAGATCACCCAAAGATGGTGCGTTGCAATATCAGGCGGAGTTCGAAAAGCGACGACGCATACGAGTGTCACGCCAATCTGTCGATGTCAGCTTGGCGTGTGGCAAATCTGAAGCACGTGGCGGTCGCACGCTCGTGGGCTTCGGTTAGGGGGCGGCGGGAACATGACCGTCTCCGCCGTGAGCCTCCCGCCCACCTCCAGCCCAGCTTTTTGCTTTTTTTCGCCTAGCCGCATAGGAAGCTGCAGTGCCGGGCTCGTGATTTGCCCTCGCTCGTACACACTTGAGTCCTGCTTGAGTCGATACCCACATGGATTCATCCGACGCCGGACGGGACCTCGTGCTTTGTGCCGTTGTGTAGGTCCTTAGTGGTGGGTGTGCACGCTCCAAGGCACTCGTTTCAGGCAATGTTGGGAAACACGAGACGGGGCAGCGGTCGAAGGCAAACGGCACGCACCAACGTGCGGCGAACACAGAGGCGAACGTTGCCCCCGTGGCAACGGGAGCAGCGCCAGCACGACTTCGGGCGAGCGAACAGTCCGACGAAATCGGCCCAGGAAGCCCACTACGCAGGTGCATATCTGGTAGCGCTGCGCAGCCCAAGTCCGCCATGCCGCAGAGCCAGCTGTGCTTTTGTTTGGGCTGGTGGCGGCAGGTCGGAGCAGCGCGGGCATAGAGGAGCGCCGAAAGACAGCCCAGCACTGCAGCATCATGGCCGGCAGCATACGCCTGTGTGCTGTGTCCCGGCAGGTTGCGAATCGCATACTGCGCCCGCGGGGCCGCGCAGTGGGAAAGCAGGAGCCAGGCGACCTGGGAGTCTCGCAAGGCAAGGAGGCTTGCCGCAACAGATGCTGCTCCAGCCAGGATGTAAATGTCGTCTAGGTAGGCTAGGGCTTGTTCTCCGGGATGGAGTTCGGACTGGATCGCGCGCAATGCGGGCTGCAACGCCAGGGAAAAGCTTGAAGGATGCTGTGGGAGCGATCGCCCACAGCCCACACATGGAGGGACTCCCTTGCGTACCACATGCGCGGAGGCTCTAGCAGCCCAAGTCCGAGCCGCACTGGCACTGCGCCCGGACACCGTACTGGTGTCGCTTGATGGACGCAGCGCCTTGGACTGCATGTCCCGAGCAGCATCAAGCAGCGCTCCTCACCAAGCTCCACGAGGTCGCGCCCGAAGTGCGCCTCGTTTATGGCCGACCCTCCACCTATTATACAGCTGGTCTGACGACCAGGTTCACCCCGACGACAGCTTGGCCGCGTTTCTCGACGACGTGGCCGACCACTGTGGCATCGGGTCCAATTTAGGCAAAACACGAGCGATACGCGCTTGTGATGGGCCCTCGCCACCAGGCATCGCGGAGCTCCGCGACGAAGTGTGGAGAGGTGACTTGCAACCCGATCATCATGGCATCGTCGTTCTGGGCACCCGGTTGGGCACTTCGTCCACGCCTGGGCAACCCGGCACCTAGTAGAAGCGGAACGGCCGATGTTGACGGCGCCGCCTTGCGGACAGCACAGCGCCGCAAGGCAGCGACCTACCCGGAGCCTCGGAGCGAAGGACCGCAGAAGCTCGTCGTGCTTGGCAAAGAGGTCGGAGGGCGCTTCAGCGCCGATGCACAGAACTTGGTGCGAGACCTGGTTCGCGTCCGGTCGTACAGAGCGCTGCCAGCCCTGCGGGCCGCAGCGTGCATGGGGCCCCGTCCGTGGTTCAAGCAGGGCTGCTGAGGGTGCATCTGACGAGGCATAGCCCGGTAGTGGCCTGAGAAGCAGCACGCTGCCAGCCCCGGGTGGTGTCCAAGCGCAGTTCGCCTTCGGACACTAGCGGCGCGGCCTGCCCAGCCAACAAGACGTGCCAGGACGGAAGCCGAGCGCGAGTGCCGCCGGCTACTCGCTATCGTTTTGGAGGTGTGCAAAAGGATTGGGACAGCGCTTCGCAGACGGAGATCCCAATGGCGAAGGGTCAGCTGACTGTGTCGAGGCACTGCTGTACGGCATCATCACGGATTGCATATTCCAATGTGCTGGTGGCGGAGGGCGTGTCCAGAGATGTCCAGAGCATACTCTGCCCCGAAAGCTTGCGCAACAGGCAAACAGCAACCAATCGATTTGCGTGTCCTTGCAAGGCCGCCCTGCCGCGCAGGTTCGGGGGCACCGTCACCGAACCAAAACCGCGAGTTTGCCGACAAGGCCTGAAGGCCATGGGGGGCGAGCCAATCAAAATTTGGGTTCAACGTCAAGCCTGTAAGATGGGCGAGGTTGCGCTCGAGAGTCGTGGAGAATAAAAACAAAAAAGAACGGAAACGTGGCTCCAGGTCGGTACCAATGTGATGCACACAACATGCTTGCCTCGGGCGGCGTTGCAAGAGGTGGCAGCGTGACCTGCATCAAGCTGGGCGGAATTCTTAACCGCAAGTGCAGCCGCAACCGCAGTTCGGGCTGGGGACGGGCAATTTGGTGGCGCTCGGGTGGGCTGGCCTCTCCAAGCCTCTGCACGATGTTGACGCTGGTCAGGCGCCGGCAAGCCCCGAGCGCTGTGTGGCAACGAATTGCTGCAAGGTGTGAAGGGCGTCGGCCACAGTCCGCACAGGGACGGGATCTGCGTGGCGCAGGCGGAGCAGGGGTGTGTGCCAGAACGCACCGAGAGTAAGGGGGAGACCCTTTTTTTTTACACGCACCTTTTTGCAAGCATCCGGGCGCGGTCCCAGTGCAGCAGACTACCGGAACCAACCAAACCCACAACCAAACCCCTAACCATCCCGAGCACGCAGGCAAGCTCATCCCATGCGGGAGGTGAGCGGAGGTGTTTCGGAAGAGTCAGCGAGGACGTCACTCAGGAGAGGCGCCTCGCCATCAAGGTT